TCGTGTTCCAGCTACGGCTAGGAGTCGTGGAGGCCCACGCCTTAAACTGTTGTGCCGGGAGGCGGCACTATGCCAATGGCCGTCTCAGTCCGTCCTAAACCCAGCGCCACACTCGTAGCATGTTTGACCCAGCTATAGCAGAATTGTGGGAATTGTAGTCACATGTTGTGCATGCATTCATGTCCCCACATCTTGAACTGACTGTTTTTTGCACTTGACGCCCGCAGCCACAGGACCTGCATCACAAATCTTCTGTGCATATCCTGCAGCAGATAGAGAGGAACATAATCCAGTAAGTACAAATTCTGGCAATGCAGGATCCAAACCTGCTGCAATCTGAACTGTGATATACACAGCCAGCCTTTCAGCCCCAATGCCAATTTTGCGAAGCCTCATTTGGCCCGGCGACTGTGTTTGTTCCATTCAAGCTTGCTGGATGGCAAGCCATCCGAACTGAAACGGCAGTGTTCACATGCGCGGTTGCACACGCGGGCTTGAAGGCTGCGGTGTGAGGTTCAAGAGCGTTTGCCGTCCTTCGAATCTGTGTTTCCGCTTTTCTTCATGCCATTGGTTTGCTTGTAGCTGCTCTCAGGCTTGTGTCTCGGCTTATCTCAGGACTCTTTCTGGAATGCGGCCGGTGTTCCGTGCCCAGCCACACGGCACCGACACTGCGCATGACACCAAACATAGCCTTAACATAGAATGAACCCTTCATGATGCTTTCATAGGGTTTTGATGGTTTTTGCAGAGTTTCTCGCGGCTTACATGGCTACAAAGGTTAAAGGTGAAAGGCACCAGTTCAGTCAGCCCAGGGTTCCGATATTCGGGAAACCGCAATCCGAAGCCCCGGACACTACAGAAATCTATAGAATTTGGCATCAGCGCTTATCTCGCACTACATCGCCAAACGCTCAACCCGAACCCTCAAAAGCTCTGTCCTAGTCCCAGATGTTGAACCTGACCTCTCACTCAACCCCGCTTGTCTGACCTCAACGCCATAGCCCGAACCGTTGGACCCCTGACCTTCAACTGCAAGTTGGCCCCACAAACGGGTAGGTGGCGTGTAGGGAAGCATCCCGCGGCCTCAGACGAATACTCACTGCCTGGAGAAGCGGAGCGCCTCTCTGAAACTGCCGAAGAGTTTGAGCCAAGGACAGGATGATAGGTTTCGGGTTCTTGCAATTTGTTCATGTCGTTCTGCATTGATGAGTTTAGAAGTGCCAGGCGGGAGGTTTGAGCTTACACCCCTGAGGTCCTGAACAAAAGCCTCCCTCCAACGCTCGAGTTTGAAGCCCCTGCTGTTTAGATCTGTAGGGCGCAGCCGAGCTCCTCCCGCAGCCCCTGCAGAAGTGGATGTGTAACCTCGCAGATAAGTAAGGAGTGGTAGGAATTGAGAGATTGTTTTTGCTTTGCGGCCCTGTATTTACGGGTCAAGGATTTGCCATTGTAGAGTTGCTGAGGGTAGAAGCTCGAGGGTTCTGGGAGAAGTGGCTTGCAGCTGTGTCTTGAATGAGACTTTCGGATGGCTTGCAGAGAGTGTCGCCGGTGTCACATCGTCGGATTCCTGTGTCTTGCACCGCCTTGAGGTACAAAAAGGTGACGGTGGTGCTGAGGGGCCGAGAGGGCCACAACGCTGCAGCGGTGAACGGGCTTTGGTACTACTGGAGAGTGGCTTGCCTTATTGCGGCTCCTGGATCTTCAACATACCATCACCTAAACATGAATTGCTTGCTTCTCGCAGTGGGCCTTATCTTTTTTTCAAGACGTCTGACTGCAGACAAGGGTTGCCGAATCCAAAGGTCAAGGGCGGCAGGCTGGCATTTCAGCGGGAGATCATGCTCAGTGCGGAAGAGGCTCCTTTCCCAAGCTCTGCCCAGGCTGAATCCGTAAGCTTGCAGTAGCTTGCACTTCAAGCGTGTCGCTTTGTGACGCTGCACTTGCGGAAAGGCGGCCATATGTTGTGATGGTCTTCCGACTAGCCACAATGTCGAACAGCTACCAGCATAGCCGTTGTACAAGCGATATTAGCAGCAGTTCTCGGAGACAGGACGGCCATGGTCCATCTCCACAGCTTCTTCGCCTCTTCCTGCGTCCAGACTAGAACCACTTTGATCTGGGACAGGCCCGAAGTTATTCCATTTTGCAAGGCTTCCTAAGGCCTAAAGCTTTCATGTGCGTTCGTGCCGTCTTTGTCACTGCTAGCTGTTGGTTTAAGTTCTTCTTCAAGACCCTACCCGGGCTTAGTGACTGTGCGAGACAGTATCGATCCATAGGGCCTTCGTGGCGAGAGATACTACTTGGCGACGCGAGTGGCGAGCCATAGCATGGATAGCTGCAGTTAGCTCAACTTCAACCCTTCAATTGCAACTGAATGTACTCAGACTCAGCAGAGGCCGGAACAATGAGTTCTCATGTCCACGTCAAATCAGGTATCTCTGCTTCAGCCTAGGCCTACTGCGCGCATAGCGAAATTGCCATCGCAAGTCCACTTTCAAATACCGTTGACTTAACTCAGCCCGCATTCAATGTGAGTTGTCGGCTTCCACATCCGACTGTCTAAGCCTGCCTCAGTCCTGCTACATCAACTTAAAATCATCCTTTGCACGCAGCTTGTACCGAACAAACTCGTTTTCATCAAGATACGTCCGCCTTCTTGTCATGTAGACGGCTGCTGGCAAGGGCGCGCCGGACAGCCATAAATCTGGGAAGAATCTGAGATCTTGGTCCAAGGTACTACGCAGCTTGTCCGCAGACTTGGGCGTTGACAGCCGGAGCTCTTGCCGGCCAAGAGGAGTCTGAAACCGCTTGTTGTAAGACAGTCTAGATGCCCTACTATGGCAAAAATTCACCTGAGGTAGCTCCATGCAAGTGGTGACCCGCCATTTTGAGACCGTCCCAACCAGAAAGGATGCATCCCCACAGACAACACACATGTGACCCTAAAAATGGCTCCGAGACTTGACGGGCTACAGGATTCTGGAAGTGTTCTCTTTTGCGGCACGAAGAGGTCCCCAACGACTGTGAACTCGACATCTAGGTAGCAACCCTTCGACACGACACCTTGAACCCTCAAACCTAGACAAAACAGCTAACTCTCCAGCTCCGAGCCCTGGTCCTGACTGGTGGTTTCTGGGCTTCCGAGATTTGTTTCTCTTCGGGTGTGACGCCGTCGCAGACCTTCGGGAGATTTGAGGCTTCGGCTCTGCTAGCGGCTGCAGGGATACTTGGGGCAACGCTTAAATGTTTCGAGACTTGGGGCAGAAAGCCGGAACGGCGAGAACGGGACGAGGTTCCTCCGACGGACGCCTTCGTCATCAGCGACTCTTGCGATGCAACAGTCGGCTCGAACCCTGGCTGCTTTGACAAACCTTTCCGTGCCTCTTCGGGGTATGTGACTTGTTCGCCGTGTAACTCGGTGTTGGCTTAGGCTCCATTTGTTAGTTGAACACATGACCAGGATGAAACTATGGCTCTCTCAGGTTCTTCGGCCTGCCGAACTCCAACACTTCCAATCTGAAACTCAGTCCGCTCACAGGATTATGGCTGATTGCGGGCCAATCGGCGAAGGCAGGCGCAAGACGTCTTGGGGTTTGCCCCGACTTGCGGTCGAGTCATACTACAGAATCACAAACTGCCGGGAAATGAGCGAGCCTTGGACATAGGATGGATAGGTAGAAGTCAAACTGCTCCTGCGCAGTACTGCTTTTATCATCCTGCCTCTACCTCCCTGGCAGCTTGCCTCAAAGCTGCGCTCGCTGTCTCTCGGGGCTTCAACGAACGATGTTCATGTTCATGCAAGTGGGAAGCCCTTGGAGGAAGGATCCCATGTATCTTCACTGAATACGCAACTGCTCTGACAGCAGCCTCCCATGCGTTCAGGATCAAATCGCTTCCTCTTCCGCTTACGTCCAGGTCGTTAGGTTCCGAAAGCTGTCAAGCGTTTCCTGTTACACCGTAATTGTAGATAGTTGTCGGAGCGTCAGTTTCGAATGCGTTTGGGCTCTTGAAGAGGCATGGACCTGGAGCAGAACTGGCGTGTGTGGGATGGAGGCGGCTGGAAAGAGGCCTCAGCAGCGATGGCTCTTTCAGTTCGGCAAATCGAGAGACTTGGAGTCCCTGGCTTACCGGCGCGCTTCTGAAGACCACATCATGCGCCACGGGTGCAAATGCAGACGGTTATCGGGAATCCAAATTTCTGCCCATGGAGGACCGCAACGTGGAGGCTGAGATCAACGTCCCGGTGGCTTGGGCAGAGACAGCGACAGATTCGGTTCCTAGGGAGGAACAATGGCACATCACTCGCAAGTAGAGTTTCGTTGGCCTAGGCCCTATATGCCTTAAGCGGCCAAGCTTGAAATCCCAGGTCGGCCTGCTAGTTTCATGCACGGTGTCATCCACTCCAAACTGCCTTGGTCGAGGACATGCTGCCTCCGTCGATGTCAGGCTCTGTGCGGGGCGGGGACAGGAAGTTGCAGTGTGGTAGGTTTGTGTGCGCTGCCGGATCAGTGAAGTTTCCCTTGTGATGCTCGGTTGTCCGATGCAGCAGATGGACTTGACGAGAAGCTGACTAATGTTCATGTGGTCCAGTTCCCAATCCCGCTTTTGCGGCTTTTGGGAGGACCTGCCAAAGAACCGGCCGCATTCTCTGGCTCCTGTTGTTTATGAGGCTTGAGACGAGGGAGCGGCAGGTACAGAAAGCTAGGACAACACTAGGCTCCTTGCAGGTAACCTATATACGGAATGTTTATGTTGGCATCAAAGATACTATACTTAGAATTGTTGAGTCCTTCGCAATGCAAGTATGGAACGCGGTACAGTTGTAGGGTAGAATCATTGTCGAGACCCGCAAAGCCTAACCCCGCATCTGCGTTATCTAACACCCGCGATTGCCCCACGCAATCTCGAAGCCCCTGAATCGACCCCTAAATCGTATGGTTCTTTCATAGATTATATGCGTAAGTATACGACCACTTCGTGACCAAGCCATGAGCACCGCCGCCATGGATGCTGCGGTGAGTAGGGGGCCGTCACTCCAGGAGATTCAGCTCTTCCCTAGGCTACTCAACACCAGGTCCCTTTCAGGATCCTTCTTTCGGTCATTGTGCAAAAGTTTGAGAGCTACCAGAGTGTCGACCTACGTCGGCGTCATTTGAGTACATTCTGACGGGCTGATACTTAGAAAACTTAGAAGATTCTGGGATTCAGGACAGGCAATTCGTTTCAGTGGTTTGACGTGACGTTGTGTGGGCACGCACGGTGTAGAGCTTGGGAAAACCCCAACAATGGCTTGCTTCTCCACAGATTTGGTCAGGGCGGTTGGGCTGTGGCTGCTTCTTGAAGGAGTTGTTCAGCTTCGGGTATTCCAGGTGATCGGCTGAAGAGTGGAAGTCCTGCAATGTGGAGGATGTCGAGGAGCAGAGCATGGAGCAGAAAGTCGATTTGCTGCTTGCGAAGTTTGAGGCATGGGCTCAGGGGATGCTGGGTTGCTAAAGCTTTGGTCGGAGATATGTTCGTACAAGAGTCTGCCAAAAAAAGTGTCAATGCATACTGCTGTCCCTACCAGGTTAAGGTAGCTACACGTGACAGCCTCACAGACCCCGGACAGCCCTTCGCCCAACAAGTCGACAAGCCAGCCGCAGCTCCGGACACGCAGTGACACACAAGGAACCACCCCCTGAAGCAGGCGAACCAAGTGGGCACTTAACAGCATTTGTCAGCCTTGCTAGCGACAGTTCGTACAACCGGGTAATGGCCGTTGTTCTCAAAGTCTATTAATATATTCTCAAGGGCCACACTATTCGCGAGACTCCCAGAACCCGGAGGTTGCAAGCCTTTCATTCGGTCCGACGAAAATGCCGAATGCCTGCCTTTCGGATTTGTGGCGGCCATTTGGAGTTTAAGCTTGAGGAGGAACGTGGGGAGGCACTTCAGAGAGACCGACAACGTTTGTTTGCCTGGTTCTCGATTCGGAAATGATCTTGGTCCGCAGGCATTCTCGCAGCAGCAGCAGCAGCTCCTGCACGACCTCGTCCAACGGCTTCTCAGCCGCCATGTTTTCGGACAGCGGCATGAGCTGCGCAGCTCCACTCCTGCGACGGTACTTGCTCGACAGTCTTCCGGGTGTGATTACAACTTCATAGTTGAAGCCAGATACCTCTATTGGAAACCCTGCTGCAGGTCTGTGGTAAATCAAAGCATGGGCTGCCAAGCGAAGCTGCTTCATCGAGAATGGAGAATTGTCAGATCTAACCGCTCACGATGAATGACATCTGGGAATGGCTTCTGGGGTTTAGGCTTGAGGTCTAGGGCTCACAAGATTTGGGTTGAGTCTGTGTGTGGCTAGGCTCTCAGCTGCACCTTCACCGGAGATCGTTCAGCGGCCGAAGCGAATGTCGCAGCAGCATCTTGCCCTGTCTTGCTTCACCGCGGAAATTCAAAGTTACGTTGCATGACATCTGCATTACCACTACTTACTTAAGTGACAACATTTACAGAAGCAGGTACATGTACCTGAGCAGACACGTGTGCAGATACACATGCATATTTAAGCATACCTGCCTACATCCATGCATACACAAATGCAGCCATGCATACATGCAAACCGCATACGTACATATTTACATGTATACATACATGCCTATGCAGACATAATGTGCGCATACACATGTTCGTGCGACAACCTTCAATCCGTATCATTTTCCAAACCTTCTGAACATGTTCGTGACGATAAATTTTCCGCATGCATGTCAGTTGGGTCTGTCAACACTTCATGTCCCCACGAAGCCATGTGGCTTAGGTGGGAGGTGGGAAATCCTAGCAATCTTCAAGACTCAACCATTGTTTTGCCCACCTTTGGGATTAAGAATAAAGGTGCACATATGCATCATCAGCACACGTATACACCTATACAGCTATCGCTAGCTAGGTAGCTGCGTGCAAACGTACGATCAATGCATGCATGCATACCGACCTTACTTCCTTCCCTTCCTACCTACCTATACCTACCTACTAACCTACCTGCGTACATACATACACACATGCTTCCGTACACCCGTACACTGCCGTACACATATGTACATACCCGTGTATACATTCATACATACATATATATATATATATATATATATGCATGTGTATATATATATATGTATATTTGTACATTATGTAGATGTATGTATACGTTTATGTTAGAGGTTGTTGGGTCAAGTGGCTGGGCGGCTGATACGATTGAAGCGCACACATATTCGTTGATAGATGCTTTTGGTTGCTCATGGTATGCCACGAAGAGGACGTGAGTCAGGGTTCACTGCCCCCGCATGGCAGCTTTTGGGAATCGTCGGAAATGGCCTTTTGACCCAAACCCTAGAAGTGTGAAGTGCCAATCTGGACGCTCAAGTCGAAAATCCTCGGTCCCCAACTTCTGTGGATTTCACACCGTTTCAAATCTCACCCGAAGAGGCTTACAAAATGGATACTGTAGCATTTGAGTGTTACATACAACTGTGTGAGTCGGGTGTTGATTCCGTCCTTTGAGCCTGAAGGTGGTGGCTTCGTGTCTACAGTCTTCAGAGAGACCTCGTTCAAGAGTCTACAGTATAAGGGACACCCGAGTGCGACATGAGCTATATATGATGTCACAGCGTTAAACTATTCCGTTGCTTCGATGAGCCAGGACCAAGTGGAACGTGAATATGGCAAGTGTTGTTTAAAAACAGGGGTTTGGTCGTACGCCATGCACTGTCTGAGAACACCAGGCCTCTCAATCTCGTACTATTTTGCAGCTCCAGCGAGGCTTGTGATTCCGGAGAAAGGGCACGGGCCGACTCGAAACAGGCAGAGGCTGTCAGCACCTTGCCTCATGGGCAGTGTTTAGGGCGCGGGATGTTCAGGTGAATGTTCATTCATGAATTTATGAAAGGCGAGGCCGCATTGAAGCACATGTTTCAGCAGTTGGAGACCTTCGACAGAAGTCGGCATGCTGCTGTGCAGTGGTTCTTGGAGGAGGCGTTCAATCTAAGACCGTATCTGTTATAGGCCATCATGACGCCTTCGACCAGCTTAAACACATGATCACACGTTTCCCGTGAAAACCCCGGATCCCCTGCTTTCAAACCCTAGACCCTCAATACCTGAACGTGGAACCCTAAAAAATGATGCAATAAGAAATGCTCATTTCTCCCGCTTCCCTGCCACATCTTCCCACCCCCAAAAGGTCGCCGCTGCAAAGCCCGCATCTATCCCTAAATCGGTTCGCGGCTGAGGGTCTCGGGTTTTCGGTACAGTATTCGACAAGAAACATACAAAATGCTTTTCAACATTGGGATGCAGCAGGCACCCTATGTCCCAGGTGGATATGAACCCTGACCAGTCAGCATCCAGCGTGGCATCCATCGTCCCATCGGTCCCATCGCATTCAACCTCTTCTGTAGCCTGGCTTCGGAAACATGATGTATTTGCTGCTCCCGTGGTTCAGGGTTTCGAGTTCTGCAATTGGGTCCCACGGCGTCAAGAGCATGTCTTGTTTTTAGCCGTAGCACAGTAATGGTGTCCAGGCCCATGGAAGGCTCCAGCGGGCGATATCATACATATATATATATATATATATATATATAGATACATATGTAAATAGTATGTATGAGCCAGCAGAGCCACAAGTCAGTGCAAGAAAGCTTGCGATTGCTGCCCTTGCTGTAGCATCCGCTTGGCACCAGGAGGCTTTAAGCAAAACAGAGAGGCATGGTACAGGGTCATGATCTGAAAAGATTACGTCAATCGGACCTGTGGCGCTCCAAACTCTGCAGCCTGAAAGCGTACCATCACCTGCCTCAGCAAAGATTGGTCTTTCAGTATCTTCTAGGACCTAGGACCGGCAGCTGGACTCTGGGTTCTTGTTGGGGAATCTAGATTCGAGTTGCCACAGCAGGGGTTTATAGCAGACGAGGTGCTGCGGTATCGTATTCAATTTCATGAACTCTCTAACTAACAGGAGTGGCGACCGGAGGAAGGGCATCTCGCACAAGTGCCGGCCTCGGTGCTTTTTGGTGGAGTCGGCTGGCTCGAGCGTGCGGTCACGATGTCGTCCCAGGGTCGGGGTCGCCGATTCCTGACAGGACGTACGTGTTGTTTTTGGGGGTGGGCAGATGGAGGTGAGAATGTTGAGGAGCCCAGCTAATTAAGCCGAACTTGAGTTTAAGGGGTAGCCTGAACATGGCTAGGGTAGGTGAAACCCGAGTCTCCGGGATGTAACAAACCTTCTTTGAGTTCAGCCTGTGGGGTTCTGCCGTTTGTGCTCACTTCAGAGCCTCGTGGTTCCTGCAACGTCCTGCACATTGTTGCCTATGTAGTGCTTTCATAAAACATGCCTCGGCAGGTCAACTGCAAACCCACCAGCCTAAGGTTGTTGTCCTGCAGACATGTTTGCATGTGATGGAAGTGGAAGCCAACTGCCCAACATGTCCCAGCACTTACTGACGTCCACCAGATGCGGAGCTTGCACAACGGTGGTTAGACATGGGGAGATGTTGAATGTGTGAAAATAATTCAGTACTTGCAGCTGAGATCTCAACTCCTGCCCCAGCAAAACAATCTTCAGAGAACCGGACATCTGTGACAAATCACGCAACCTCAACCATGGTGTCTCCTGAGGGGTTCATGTTTGGACATGTTCAACCAGGGTTTACAAGAGCACGCATGTGGAAACTGGGTGCGGGTTTTCGCTGCACTCATGAACGCCCGCAGACAACTCTAGACTCTAAGCTTTGAATAGGGCCATAGTCTTGAGGTTGCAGCAACGTAAAGAACAGCCATCTCGGGCCGCTGAAAGGTTTTAGAGCTCAAAGGTCATCATCAAACGCAAGACTAAACGACACCAGTCCTACACCCTGAAGCCCAACAGCCTCAAGGCATAAAAGAACCTCATGAACCGTCCGACTCCTCGACGCTGGATCCTGTGTTAACATAACAGGTCAGGCTCAGAAAGATGCAGCCCATCATCCTGAAAGCCAGCGCCCTTCTTCAGAACAGGGTTTCTGCTTCACCCCCTCAACATGTGCATTAATCCTGAAGCCAAACCCCACAACCCTGAACACTAAGCATTCGCAGGGGAGGATGCCAAAGAAAGTGGAACATGGCCCGGAGGGACCAGGCAGCGCAGGCAAGACATTTTGAGCTCTGCTTCCGAGGTGCAGGACCCAGGATTCAAAGCCCCGAAATACCAAAACGAAAGGCGCTCCTGTAGGAGTCTGTAAGTTTGGTCGGAAGCTTAGGGTCGGAAGGCCGGTATGGTTTGGGCCTTGTTATTGGCTATGGGAGTCCGGGTCGGCTGTTAGTCTTGCAGGCTTAGTACACCTGGCAACACCACCACCAAAGGCTCTTGTTTGACTGCTTGAAACACCCCGCCAATCGACGGCTTGCAGGCCCGAGATCCGACACCGGGAGCAATTGATTTTTTTGCTCAATGTGTTCAACCCTGCACTCGTCCTCGAAGCCCATCTCCGAATGAAACGCCCCACCAAACTGACCTCAAGCTTATCTGCATGGCCGGTTCGAGCTCGAGGTTCTCAGAAGGCTCTGTGTCTAAACCTCATGCCTGCAACCCTGTACAGCCTATAGGGCCTATACTTCCAGCCTGTTGTTCTGGCTTTCCGTGCCTGGCACGGCACCAGAGGCCCGAAATCCCGATGGCCACATAGTCCAAGCACATGATCACAAATGCGAAACCACTAAAAACTCAAGATGAGGAAGCCTGCTGCAGTATGCATGTCTGCTTTTGCACATGGCTTTTCAGGTTATCTGGAGTGTAGAATGCCGCGTGGTAGGTATAGTCACTAAAACAGTAGCGATGATGCTGCGCATCAATGTGAAACAAGGCCTGTTTTGACTGTATCGACAGTTCGCCAGGAAGTGCAGCCACAAGCTGTACAAGTCGTAGCGAAAATGGTAGTGTTTGGAAAGGCAAGAAGCATTGAAGCAATAGCAGATTTACCGGGGGCTGGTCCCGGAGATGTTCGTTCGCTCCGTGAGCCTTCCAGTTCGGCCTGATACCTTCCTTTCTGGAGATGCTGGACCTGAGGTTTCTGAGGAGTCTTGGAGCATGCTCGCCAACCTTAAGTCGCCCATGCACCCGGATCAGGATCTCCACGACGATGAAATTTGTCCGACAGGCTCTGAAAGACGAAGATCGCTGCCACACCGTGGGGTGAGCCGATCCACGGCCACCTCCACTCCAACAGCATTTGACGATGAGATGGACTTTGACTTTGCTCTGTCTTTGGCGACACAAGAATCCGAGGCTGGTCAAAGCGATATCGACCCAGTTTTGGGCGAGGAGATGGAGGAGTTCGAGGGTGGTGGACTTCCTGAGGAACCACTGATGCGAAAGGTCAACTCGACTAGTTCATTCCGCAGGCACGCGGTTCGTGCCCGTCGTGAGAGACTTCGTGCAGCACGACATCAAGTCATCGTCGACTTCTTGCAGAGGAACAACTTCGGTGGAGTCAACGCGCCACGCTCTCGCATGGGCTTCAGGTTGCTCTCGGAATCCGTGTACCCACTCCACATGGCAACACAGCAGGGGGATGCTCACATGGTCCAAGAGCTCCTTCGAGAAAGGGCGGATCCAGAGAAGAGGAGCTCGAGCGGGCGCACGGCTATAGACATGGCACATGCGGCGGACCACTTTGGCTCTCACTGTGTGGTGCTCGAGATCTTGTCTGGACGCTGGAACACCATGAGCTTTCGCGACCTGAGAGCCTGTTCCTCTGGCACTTAGAGCTTTGAGCTTCGATCTTCATTCGGGGAGTCGAGCACGGTGAAGGGTCAGACGAAGCATCCTGCATTTGCAGCTCTGTTCGTCTTTTCTAGTTCAATGTATCGGTTTGCCAAGTGAACTCCGGACGAACCCCGTGCGTGCTCCTCTCAACGATTTAAAGCCAGCAGATATCCATGAAGTGGCCACGTAGCTCAGAGGCTTGTTTGGAGCCTCATGTTGTTGTTTAGATACAACAACACTCACAACTCATGGTTTATTTGGGTGTCGGCAGCGGCTGCATTGCCGACGGACACCCGAGTTGACACTTACTTAGGTTCCAAGTCGAGAAGCGAACCTGTTTGCGGCCTGCCTGCAGGATGCAAATTCTGTGCAATCGAAGAGTCTGGCTAAACGCAGCAGTAGCAGCAGTTGCATGATGGCAGGCCTGCAGAATCGTCATCCTCTGTATTCTTTTCGAGGGTTCTGAACGTCAGGCTCTGGCAGCGCCTTTGAACTGGCCTAGGTGCGCTTGCACAGTAACTGCGTTCTAAGGAGCACAGCAGTAAAATTTGCTTTTGGGGTGTAATGGTTGATGTTTACATGTAGATGCTGCTCGAGCCCGATCAGAACCATACAGTTTTTGAACTCAGGCTTGTGCCTGTGACCCGTGCATTTGCGAGATCCTGTAGGGCTCTCAGAAGTTTTCTTCGGTACTTTCAGGTTTGTGAAAGCACCACGCAGCACCACGCAGACCAGGCGCTTGCATCGAGCTAGGAAAGGCTGAGATGAAAGTGCCCAGCGACGCTTCCAAACCTAAAGGCTTTACATCTCGATTGGGCTGTCGAGGCCGTCGAGGTTTCGACCCGTGATTTGTCCGGTAATGGCATCCCACAGACCCTGACCCCGAAATTCCAGTATTCACAAATCCAGACTGCCGCATGCTCGGTTGTCAATCCTTGAGCCTCCGGCCACGACATGTGCTATGAAAGGCTCTTCTATATTCTGTATTAACTAAGTTACTGTGTCCCCATCACATCTTTGCAAACTCATATGACAGGGGTACACCGCAAGGAAACCTACCCCAGCAGAACGGAAGGAAGCCCCCACAGGCAGCAAAGCGAAGAAGGCCAAGAGTGTGTCCGTGATGTCCCAAAGCAGCGCATCTGTGCCACTCGCATAGAAGGTTAGGGCCTATCATATCCTAGTGTTCCAGAATGTCGGATGTTAGGACCAAGGGTCAGGGTGGCAGGCATTGTGTTCTTTTTGGCACTGTTCTGGGCTTCTGGGCTAGTCGAGGCCAATGTTCGAGCTTTCGGCGTTGACGCTTCAGGGAATTCGTCATGTAAACTTCGAACGCCCCATGGTTGGAACTCCAAGACACCAAAACAATTCTTTCTTTCGGAGTTCCAGTTTGCAAGGGTGGACGATTACTCGCAATCCCACCTGATCCTGCCGGCTTCACGAAGGTTTTTCGAAGGCTTCACAATCTTTGAGTGAAGCGAGGAAGTTGAGTCGAGGGCTCTATCTTGGGTTCTGGAGCGAATTCTATATTGGAATCTTGTGGCAGGACGCAGAACCCCTGAAACAGAACCTCGATACCCCCCAAAGGCCCGAACCTCTTCAAGCCCGTACCCGCAACATAGACACATAGAGGGCCCTGATACTGATCCGAGGCTGACGCCCAGCAAAAGCAGCACGCCGCTCCTCGTCCTATCCTTTGCCTTGCTTCTTTAGGAGAAGATCTTCACAGTCCAGGGCATGTAGCCTGTAGGAGTGACCGCGAATGCGACGTTGCCCAAGGCTTTCGGGTTTAGTGACTCGTGTTTAAGTTGTGGAAGCATGCGGAGGCCATCTCTGTCGGGGTTGCAGTGGCCTGATGCCTTGCCTGGTAGGCTCTAGGCCATGGAGTTCAACTTGCGTCAACTACATGAATACTTTTGATCCTGGTGCCTGTAGTGTGGTTTGAGTTCGGGCTTCAAGGTCCAGTGCATCCATTCGACGTCCAATTCAGGGCTAGGCTGTAAGGGTCCAGGCAAAGGTGTCCCCCTGGACATGACCCGCAAGCCCCTGATGCTAAGAAATCCGCATATCAGCCGCTCCTCTCGCAGGTTGGCAGCTGCCTGGCATGGTGAGATTCGCAGTCGCCAGCAATCGGTCGAGCCTTGATGCTGAATCATGTGATCTCGGGGGTACAATATTCGTGCCTCCCTTGCTTGGTGCTGCCGAGTACGATGGTCCCGCAGCCGACTTCCGGATGTTACGAACACCGGCTAAAACCAAAGGGTTCGCCATGACCTGCAGGGCTACAGGACCTTTGGGAACATTAGTGCCTTGATGGGTCGTGAAGACGGCGCTGGACAGCATGATAAAGCTTGAATTTGAGCAGTGCTTAAGCATGGGTCATCTTGGCCAGAGGGCGGTCTTGGGACTGTGATAAGTACGATGTATTCCTGACGCCAGTCCCTCGAGTTGCCAGTTGAAAGTCTTTGGGCCCATAAAACATGCAGGAGCCTGTGCAAAGGGAGTTTTCACTACTTTTCGTGTGCAGGTTGGCACTTCTTCTATTCTAAGCACCAATACAGAACGGACTTCCTTCATGCTCGTGGAGTACTAGCGCAGCATTACATTTGGCCGTACACTGCGAGGTAGCAGAGTCTGGCCAAGGCCTTTCCTGCCAGAGAAGCTTTTCACAAGGCAATGTCCCTTAGATAGTACACTCAAACATTGTACAAGACATAGTTAAGAAATCCGTGCATCATAGTTACGGCAGCTGTACATGATTTTCTGGGCATTTTGTGCAGTTACGCGGGCTATTCATAGGTGGCTGTGGTTTGGGCGTGGAAGATCAGTTGCACAAGTGGCATAGAAAAGGACGGAATAGCCTCTGCCATACTTTGCCTGCTCCACTCTCGGCATACGAAGCGGGAATAAAGACTTGCATGAAGATTGACCTGCAGCAGCACATGTTTTCGGGTAGGCACAGACATTTGTGGCGAACAATCACAGGCGCTGCAACATGATGGTGCGCTGACAGAATCCCTGCAGCACACATGCAGATCACTGCAGGGCTTCAGCCGGCAGGTGCTCCGTTCACAGTTCCGAGTGTGTGCTGTCATACTCTATGGAACACACACGCACACACACGAAGACACAACCACATAACACACACCCGCACACAGAAACACGCACAGACACAGACGCACACAGACAAGGGCAAGCAACCGACCAACACACTCACACATACGTTGCATACACACAATTAAGAAATGCGTCTTTCCACAAGGCACCTTGTACAGTACGACCCTGTGTATTAGACTGGAGGGCTTAACTGTAGGGTTTAGGGAATTCCGACATCTTTGGCTCAGGATGATCGCACCAGACGAACTGTGCCTTGGATACACTGAGGTTTGGGACTTATGTATATAACGTTATGGAGCCGTTTGGGTTTGCTTAGGCCCAGGAGCAACTGCTCGTTGAACTGCTGATAGAAGCTTCTTTTGGTTGAGCAGCCTGTAGTTTTGTAGTACCTGCTAAGTGAGTCCTCGAGACCAGCCATGCGGGAGCCAAAAAACATATGGACTCTGACCACCCTACACCCCCAAAGTGCCAACCCGACATTCCAGCTTGTTTGCTCGTAGGCTTGATCTGCCCAAAAGCTTGAATCTGCAGCCCCAAGCCAGGAACCGTAATAAAATCGCACGATTGCATGACGAATCCCGCAGAACTCCCGAGAGACTCTTTGGATTTGGGTCGTTCCCCATGTTATCTTATGATCCGGGGTAGACTTCTCAAATCGCAAGCTGCCTTCCGACATGCAGTCCCCTCTGGTCGCGTAGTCATTGAAAGCGGACATCCTTAGAGGCATCCACCCTGAAGAGCATTACATAGCAGTTGCGAAGCTCGACTCTAACAAAACCATAGCCAGAAAAGCCGAAACGTTGAGAGCCCCTTATGTTTGTCAGCAGCCAAGTTATCCTCGCAAAGCCTGCTGTCGGTCCCGTCCGTGCGAGAGATGAACTCGGCCGGGGACCTGGCTTCAGGTCTAGATTCTCACATCAGGACCGATCAGGATGTACGGCGTAAGACAGGTTCTAGTTCGATGCTGGAATTTCTTGCACAAAGGGGTGGATCCTCCCTTGACAAACCATATGGAACTCTAGAGCCATAGTATCTCTAGTAGTTCGGACTCATCTTGTTTTTTGTGCCAGTTTCGGCTCCTTAGGTTTAGTTTGGGATTTCAGTTTCTGAGCTTTCCAGCTACTGGGACAATGTCTGCGAACATATACTTGAAGGCTGGTGGGACCTGGCATCTTGGTTTCCGGAATTGAAAACTGTTTCATTTCACCGGTGCAAGTTGCCACCTGCGTGATGATCCGTTTCGAACGCCGTCGTTCGCTCGAGCCAAAGCTGGACAAGAAGGGCGTTTGCGGCTTAGGTTCCAAAAGAATTCGTGGACATAACAGTAACCGAAGGCTTGCACAGACCTGATTCCGAGCCGCTTCTGCGAAAAGTCTTACGTCTGTTTCCGTGCGCCGTGCAGATAGAGATACACAAGCTCGATCTGTAGCATAAGAGTCCTACCAGGTTGACGGCGTTCTTGTTGTTACTACAATCGTCAGAGGTCGCACTAGTAGTAGTAGTAGTAGTAGTAGTAGTAGTAGTAGTAGTAGTAGTAGTAGTAGTAGTAGTAGTAGTAGTAGTAGTAGTAGTAGTAGTAGTAATGACAGTCGTCGTCGGCGTGGTCGTGGTAGTGGTCGTCGTCGTAGCGGTAGTGGCAGTGGCGATGGCAGTGGCAGTAGCAGTAGCAGTAGCCGCAGTGTTCGTAGTAGTTGTTCTAGTATAGTAGTGCCTCTTGCACATGTTCTGATAAGTTGGAGCTTTGGAACTTGTGCTGCGATAACGGAGCATTCGGACCAATTTGCTGTTTGTCAGGCATTCATGCATGCCATTGCGGAGACTTGGCAACTTGTTCGCAGGGAGCGGAAGAATCAGCCAACTTCCAAATGTCGGAAGATCGAGTGTACTAGTGTGGCGTTTCAGCCAGCGTAACCCCGCGCATGCTGCAACTCTTGCAACAGAAGTACACTTCTTGCCTTCCATCACAAAACGTCTACCCGGTTACCCATTACTTTTGCAAGACTTGAACATCAATCACAATCGAATGCATGTTAGAAAAGAGGGTTGGTTTTCACCGGCTGCGGGGAGGACACCAAATATCTAACCGCAACCACCACCACCACCACCACCACCACCACCACCACCACCACCACCACCACCACCACTACCACCTACAACCACAGCAGCAACAACCACAGCAACGACAGCAACAGCAGCAACAGCAACTCCACGAACCACCAACAACGAGAACAGCAGTATATCTTGCAAACACCTGTACCGAATCACCAACCCCCCCCAACACCCCAGGAAGCCCCAAACCTCAGATGATCAGTCCGAGTGTGAGTGCTCACACCTCAGATGATCTCATTTGAACATTCATAAACCGTCGAGGATGCCCTGCATGAGAGCGGGGAAACGAAATTCAAATACGTACACAAGTAACAGAGCCATATCCTTTTTGAGCCCGAAGCCCAGTCCTCAGCCTCAGACCGTTTACTGTCAAACTTGTTTTCTGCCCGAGTTTGGATGGTTGGGTCCGGCGTTTGGGATAGGCAGTCAGGGAATTCGTGCTAGAGTCTGCTAGCTCCAGACTGGAGAATGTACTGTACCCTCGGCACACGGCCCAGCGACAGAAGCCCTAGGCAATGAGGGTTGGAGGAGAGCTTCGGGGTATCAGGAGGACGACGCCACCGTGGCACAACATCAGCGGCCAAAGTCCAGGAGATGGCCCCGAAGCCGAAGTAGGTGCGCGCACGGGCGCGTTTGGTTGAGGTCGGTTGTAGATTTTAGAGTTTTTTGTCACTGCAAAGAAGTGGCAGGAAAGATCACAGTTCGTTGCGCGACTGTGTAGTCGAATGTGCGAGGCGTGTGTTCTAAAGACTACGCTGTTGAATAAGAGTTCGAGTTCTGGATATATGCCCGCTTGAAGAGCGTCTGACACAGCTCTCGAAGCACAGCACTGCGTCGGAGAAACTCTCCGTGTCCTTCCAAATTGACCATCGGCAGCACCCGTTGCACAAGGTAGAATTCAGAGAGAGCGAGAGAGAGAGACAGAGGGCTCACGGATTCAAGCTGCCTTGCCACGTCAAAGGCGTTTCTGTTCCACTCAGCACATCCCGGGCATCTTATGCGACATGGTTTTTGCAATGCGTTAGTGAGATCAGTGGATCCGAAAACTCACAGTGCAAACCCTCACTTATACACATAGAATGGTAACTCTAAATACAACAGGAAGCCTGCACACCCTGAACTGTCACATGCAGAGGCTCGCCAGCTTCGGCCATCCAGCGACCGGCGCATTCTGCTGGCCTCTCCTCGGTTGACAACCCGGTCGCCGCTCAGGAACCGGAGGCGAGTCCAGCCAGGGGTCGAGTCTATTAACATAAAGATCTGAATTTGGAGAGCGCCTCTGGTTTTGCTGTATATCATATGTGTACTCTAGCGTGTAGGGGCTACTTTAAAGGAGTATTCCAAGCATCACGGAGCTGGGAAGCTGGCAAGCACGACAACACAAGCTACTTCAAATCCTGCATGCGGGATGCGGTTTCACATTCGTTCAAACAAGGCCAACAAGACCTGCTGTAGACTCTAGACCCTTGTTGACAGCGTCTGACCGCGTACCAAGGATTCGGACAAAAACAGGATCTGGCCTTTTCTCACCCTAAGCCCGAAGCTCTGAAGCCTTGAACCCACAAACAAAAGCATCGAACCCGATCAGGCCGAGGATTCGCCAGAACTGCCGAACAACCTCCCAGCGCGCAACAGGGAATTGTGCCCAAGTTGAAGTGTGGGGGAGGTCTTCCCGTCTTCTCTGTCACATTTCGTCTGCATGGGTGTCATGTTGTTGTTTTCTCGTCGTCGTTCTTACCGTAGCCGCTCTAGTTTTGCAAGCGGGTATGAAGTGGGTTAAAAATAGATTTGTGTTTTGGGCCGGTGCGTGTGCGGTTTCATGTTGGACAAGCATGTATGTATGTACGTAGGTAGGTAGGTAGGTATGTACGTATATGTACATGTATGTATGCACGACATGTATGGAAGGTGTGGAATGCATGGTGCGACCAATCGACAACAGGCCATGACGAGAACAAACGCTTTGATCAAGAGATATTACTACGTAGGACATGACAAAATAAGTTGATGCGCCGGACAGCGCGTTGCGCATTGGAAGCAGTTGGACCGAACCCCCGAAACTTAAAAAACAAGTGGAGGCAACTCACATCGCACTGAACCAGCGCACTCGGCCATCGGGATTGAGAGGTTCCACACCACTTCGATTCAGGTAGGGGCTGAGCTTGCGCTCTGTTTAGCTAGTGTCTTGTTGAATACAAGGGAGTCCTGTGTGTAACCATGACATCGAACGGCGCATGCTTTGGTTTGGACTCTGTCAGTATCGAAGTCACTCACTGATGGCAACGGGTTTCCAGTTGATGCCACATTTAGTGCTCAAATGAAAGCAGCATTTGTGAACATGGTGGGTCCCAGCGGCACAGCTTGACAGTCACAATACTCCACAAGAAGCTGTGGTCCATCAATCAGGGCTTGGAAACCTGATGCATCTCTTTTTGCACGTTTTGCTTACGTGTATTTACGGTGCATGTGCATGCAGTGTTGTTTTCGAGTGTCGTGCACTTGCGCACATATATACACACTACGCACATCAATGTGTGTATGTGTGTTCGCGCATGCTCTCGCCCAGCAGATTGTACCCTTTGAGTGCATAGCATACGCGCATAAACGAACTCATGAACAAATGAAGAGCACACTCCTATGCGTACGTCTGTTTATATGCATGTATGTACATATGTAGATATAGGTGCCGACATAAACATAGATAAAGATATAAACCTGGACATGCATGCTGATTTTATTTGCGTGCGTGCGAGCGGTTATCCACACCTATATGGAACGTATGGCGGATGAAAAACAACGTCCGGGTTTTCTGCGTTTCGCTGTTGACAAACTGGGTTTTGCTACCGTACCCGGGAGCAGAGTTGGTCACCTGGATACTCTACCCAAGTTTGACGATCTTAGATTAGGGTAGCTGGAAAGGAAATTTGTGCAATTGGAAAGGGAACCTCGCCGCGAGCTCATTCTGAGGAATCTCCCTGGCCTCATGGAGGTTACCCCTGTGAGCTCTTCAGCAGACAGAATGGTTTCAGGCCCGCTCAGGTGCGGCTGCTGAACGGGTTGAATAGCAAAAGGCTAGTTTGAGATTCAAGACTTCAGCCTGCGCATGCTAGCTTCGATTCTGAGGGCTGACCCAAGAAGTTCAGAAATTACCTGCAAAGTGGATTGCAGCCCCTCTGAACTCATGACAAAATCCCATGACTGTGAAGTTGCCCTCAATCAGATAGTTCGACAATAAAGGACGCCTTAAACTTAAGCCTTTCAGTCTGCAGCATGGGATGGCAAGCGTCTTGCGGCGTGGGCGGTAAGATTGAACTGGATGTGCGATGTTTCGGCTCGTTTCATTCTCCTTATTTCGTTGGCGTCAATTTGGTTTGATGACCCGCTGGGGTACTGCAGGAGCACTTTTCCCCAAAGTGTCTCGTGTGCCCAGTCTCTAAGTGCGAGGGCCTGGTAGGTAGAGAGATCGATAGACAAACGGTTAGGTAGGTAGGTAGGTAGAGAGGTAGATAGCTAGACGCATAGATAGATAGATAGATAGATAGATCAATAAGTAAACAGTCGGAAATTTGATAGTTAATTGACAAAAGGTTAGATACAGTAGAACCTCATGGACAGGCAGAACCACCGATACATGCATAGATAGATAGAAAGATGGACATTGCAGCGGGTCTGGGGATGCATTAAGATTTCGGCTGAAACAGCATATGCCTGTTCAAGAGCTGCCCTGCTTGCACTGTTTGGGTGATGATCGTGGTGCAAGCGCATGGTCCGAATTTACCTTCTTCCTCAGGTTCTGAAGCCTACAGCCCCAGCTTCAGTTTGCCACAACATCTGGTTTGTAGCCAGCAACCAGCCCGAAAAGTTGAATCGGCACACCAGGGCATCTGGTGGAACCGTCGCCAATGGTCAAGCCGTGACCATGGTGAATTTAACTCATCACTCGCAGGCTTGTCTCTGGAATTTGGGACATCGGGATTGGGGCTTCGGCTTTCAACCGGCTGCTTCCCATTCAGAGGATTGTCAGACCAACCCGAAGTCATTGCCTTGAAGGGCAGCAGAAGTGAGGAGGGCGATGGAGGCAATTCCCTTGTCAAGGCGTTTGGCCTGTATCATATATCACTCACCCACAGCTCAAGAAGCCTGGTACAGTTTCACATACACAGCAGCAAGCCTGCATCGCTAATTGCCCGCTGGTCCCAGACAGTGCTTGCATCCTGGTGTTGCATGTGGGCAGAGCTACTGGCACCCAAAATCGTTCCGACACCTTCGACAACAGCATGTTCCAGATGCATGCTCAGTGAACCTGCATGTGCTCTTGGCATCAGCCCCAAATCCTTGCTCTCAAAAGAGTCTGCGGTGGTGTCGGGTTTTGGTGATGTCGGAAGGCCCTCATCATCGACAAGTTCAACACAGCCGCCGCCACCGAAGTACCGCCTCTGGAGCAGGACAACCCGCTTCAGCCCCTGTAGTTCACTAATTACTTCGAAGACCGAAGCATACGTCCTTTCCACCGTATGAGGCGAAGTCTTGCTTTCTGCAGCACATAGTCGGTGCTTGGAGTCGGGATCCTCATTTTCGCACCGATTCTTTTCTTGCAATCTCCGGCTTGGGATGCAGGTTTCTTTTGCCATGAACGGGTGCAGCTTGCAAGATGTCGAAGGACCATGCATGCTCCTGACATGCAGGCCTACATTCGCCCGAGGGAGCAAAGCTGCTTATGTTCAGCCTCAGCTTGTTTGTCTTCAAACTTCGTTTCATCATTCTGCAAGAGGCCGGTCCTGCGGAGTTAACAGAGCCCTACCTGAATCGACAAACTGTCTTTGGGTACTCTCCTGACATGCTCCTCCCCACCAGAGTCCCACAGAAAGCAGAGACCCCAAAGCCCCCCAAACCCGCGAGCGGGCATAGACTCCCAAGCCATGCGAGTCAACAAGAGCTGTAGTGCCTCGCTCAGTATGTGCATGTCAGTCTTTGGTCTTCAGCTCCGTTCAACAGGCTCTTCCCATCGGGGATTCTTGAAGCTAACCATGCAGAAGGAAAAGGGCCCGCACAAAAGCAAACAAACTGCATCTCCTGACCCTAGATACAAATTTGACATATGAGTACACATACAAGTATGGGTAGAAGTATATAGCTATGAAAGCAAATATTTGCGTAAAGTACACGCAATAGAAAAGTATGTGCGTATACTTGTTGGTATGCATGTTTTTTCTTATTCTTATCATTGTTTTTGTTTTATGTGTATGTATATACATCTGTAGTCTATAATTGCATGTGTATATTTACATATATATATATATATATATATATATATATATATACACATGTGTGTATGTATCTATGTATGTACGCATAGCTACAGATAGTGTGTATGCCTGTTGGTGTGTACATATGTGTGCCTACTAAAGACATATTCGTATGTCTATGTGCTGTAATGTGATGTAATGTATTGCAAGATCTTTGGTATAATATGTGTTGATATGTTTGGTATGGTATGGTATGGTATGAAATCTGAAATGGCATATACTATTATGATACAATGTACATCGTTGCACTATGTTCATTACTGGAACTATCGCACTCGAATCTCCGAACGCTGCTTGAATACTCAATGCGTGTTCCAACAAACCTCGGAAATCCAAGAACTAGAAATTCCAAACAACAACTCAACAATTCAATAATTCCCAAATATTGCGAAACAAGCCAAAACTACGAGACCAAGTTCTGGAAAATCGCAATTCCAAGATTCCATCCCAGGTTGTTGGACAGCTTAAAACGTTTGGGATGTGGCAAGTCCGAGTTGCGAGAGCATAAAGTTTGAGATCGTTGGACTTTTGAAAAATCAGAATTTCTGGAGTTTTTGGATTTGACCATGTTGAAGTGTTTTGCAGTTTTCGATTTCGTGGGGCTCGAGCATACAATGCACCTGTACACGAAGACTTCATGGGACGGATTGGTGCATACGGGGGGGGTTCACGTATGCATAACTTGTGCTAGTTAGTATGTGTGTCGGTATATATTCCTATACACATGTCATATATACGCATACCACACATAGCTATCTTTATCTTATTGACGAGCTGTGACATTGGCCGTCATCATAGCCTGTCAAGCTACCAGGGGACTGCGGACACGCGTGAGAACCTTGTTCCACATGTCGGTGACCGGTGACAGTCGACTCGGCTCTAGCTTAGCGAGCCTGGACTTTCCCGCTCGCTTTGACGTTGTCAGATTTTTGTGGACTCCGTCCCTTGCATGCAAGCGGTGCAGGATGTGGGATGTCGACTTGCGCTGAACTTCCCTCGCGTACTTTACGGAATCCTTGCTGCTTGCCTCGAACCTCCTTCCTCGGCCTCGGCTCCAAGCTTCCGGCTTCGGGCTTCGGGGCTGGGATAGAAATTCGGTCCAACTCACTAGCTGCGTAGCCGCACCGCAAGCATCGAAGGATGGATGCTTTTGTTTGGCGGCCCATGCTTTTGGCGGTTTAGAAGTTCAGCGTTGACTTGCAGTGTCGGGCGCTGCCGTAGCGCAGCTGCGTCGGATCTTCGAGGGTTTCGGGGAAAGTCGTTGAACTCATATGGTCGTTTGCGGCAGTGATTGTTGTTGGCAGGCATGCAAAGTTGGACTTTCAGTCTGGTACTCGAGAATACTCCTTGTAGTCCTGAATAATGATAGGCCAGCTGTTTTTTTTAACTTGGGATGGGGGGTGGAAATGCAGGATTTGCAGAAGCTTAGCATGTTTACCTAGCAATTTCGGCTGGCACAGACCCTGAAACAAAGAATTCCCATACGCAAATCTCTCAGTCAAAGCAGGGGGTCGTCGTTTCATATTCCCAATTCACCCGGCAGCCTGTTTTGTCAAGGTGTTCTTTTCTCTCGCCCAGTGCGGCCACGGCCTCAGTCAATATGAGTAGTCATAACAGCTCGCACTCTGCAGTCCGGATATAATGCAGTGTTGCGAAGATCTGGCAACCATGGTGGTCTCTTGGAGTGGGTTAGCTGTATCTGTGGCCGTCCTTTTTCAAGAGGCACCAATGACTGGAACAGCTTACCAAAAGTTGCTGAATCTCTCTACTCCGTCATTTTCAGGACTCACGCCTTGGGCTGAACAAGTGTGCAAGTGCGAGACTCCAAACCCAAATTGAACAGCCCACAAAGGCTCCAAACCCAAGTACATGCGGCTTCATGTTCCGGACTCGGCAACAGCTCTGCTTCCCTGTACATCCCAGAATCCGGCTCTTTTTGCTAGGCTTTTGAGCTGTCTTTGCTGCAGACCCTTGCACCTTCTACTGCTAGAAACGGCTGACTGACAGCCCTAAAGACTGAAACGAGAATCCACGTATTCAGTGGGTTCCCGCAAGTGCGCAGCATACAGGTGTGTCAGAACCTCCGTAGAGAGACCTTGATCGCGGCCCAGGTGTGATGGTGGCGCTCAAGGTGTTAGGCTACGTAGAAAGCGTCGGATACAGCTTCGCCATGGCGGCGAGCGTGCTCTACAGCCGCTCGACTCGCTGGAGAGTGCATTAATCGTGTTAGGGACATGGTCTAAAGTCTAAAGAGTACGTTCGTTATGTGATAGCATGCCGTAGTATATAATATGCATGGGCTTGTACCATCTGAACTTGGTGTCATCATCATCATCATCAACAACTGTTTTTCCAAAGACGCCGCAGGATGCAGTTCTGAGCTAGTTCGACGGAGTAGTGTGCCGTTCGGACAGAAGTGGCGGGGTCTTACGTTCATTTGCTGGTCCCTTTTTGTGGTCCTTGCATGGGGTGCTTTTGAGCCCCTCCCGGCTGTCCCGAGTGTGATGAAAGTCTCAATGTATAATTCTGTCATTCATCTTGCTGTCGTCATGTCGTTATCAGAATGAGCACTGCTGCGACGACTGCTATGATGTGTGCATTCTTGTCAAACAGATGTGAACCTTGTACACCCAGATGTCGCTGGCTGGTGAATCAACGTCGATGGCACATGCACTCTCACGGGACCTTTGCTGCTGACAGGTTAACAGTTTGACAAGATTGTGTGTAGAACTACAAGCTTGACAAGATGGGTTTGGGTCAGGTTGAATGAAAGCGAGGAAGCACATGAGCCGACCAAGAACCACCGCAGCGAAATCTGAACCCTAAAACCACGGAAGAAAAACGGACTCTACCCGCACCTGTCAACCTCGCCTGGCTTGTCCAAGTTGTAGAGCGTAGAGATCTAAAGACGAAGACTTAAATCCCCAGACATCACTAATAAAGCCCCAGAGCCTCCCCATCTAAACTCCCCTGAAGCTCCAACATGCTGACTGAAACTTGAGAACCCGAGATCATGTGAAGGCTTGAGCGCAACGATTTGCATCTATCTCTTACGCCGGGCGTTGTCGACGCTTGTCTTGTCCAAGAGTTAAGGCTTTGGGGATTAAGCTTTTAGCGGCTTGGGATTTTAGGGGGTTATGGTAGGGCTGAATGTATTTACCGTTGATTGGGTGTCCGGGGAGCTGCAAGCACAGATGATCCGGTACGACGCTGCTTTGCTGTGCCACGGTATATCACGCGCAAAAAAAGATACAGAGCTGACCCGAATTCGCAGTTGTCCAGCCGAAACGGTGCAAGCTGCGCCAATAACCGATGCTGCACAATGCGAAGCGTAGCACCAACTATGTCACCGACAGTGGTTTCATTGCCACTATTTCTTCTCAATTCACGTATGTGTTCTTGTGCCGCATCTGAGTTTGCATCATGTGATACCAGATTCTGATGGTCTGGTCTTGAATGTACACTAGCTTTGGGCTTGCAGATATCGCGAACGCCTCCTCTGCGAGTGCCGGGGACCTAGACTTAGCCAACCTAAACCTCGAGGGGATGCAAACACACAACCACAGCTCTGCATACACCCCTGATAATCCCCTAATTACAAAGCCTGGCCCTCCAGTTTTGCCAACAATTTGCGGCATTCAGGGTTTGTGTTTGGTCCTAGGTCGGATGACCTGGCAGCTGCGATGTCCAATCTCCACATGTGACCTGGCCAGACAATGAGTAAAGAAGTGCTTCTGGCTCTGCGAGTGCTTGCTCGGTTGCTAGAGTCTTGTTCCGAGTTCAAGCTTGCCGCCTTCACTACGGCGTGGACATCTTTGATTTAGAGATGAGAGCTTCAACAAGGTAGATTCAAATTAGATCCTTGCTGTAGCGAGGCAGTTGCGGGCATGGATGTGCGCAAAGGAGTCTGTCTTCATACATACATGCGTGCATACACACATAGCTATACATAAGTGCATACCCAGCTAGGTCGAAGACAAGAGGGAGAAAGGAACACAAGGAGTAGATAATTGAGAAAGCATGCGAACAAGCATTTGCTTAGGTACGTACGTTCACTAAATTCATTCATTCACTCGTGCATCCGCCCATCCATTATTTCATCAATCCATTCGTTCCTTCGTTCTTTCATGCGTACATTCACATGTGTATATACCTATACACGCACATACGCATGTGCAACTGCATACGGCATATGCGCACACACACACACATGCACATACACATACAGACGTACAGACATGCCTGTGTACGTGCATACACACACACATATCGCACGCACGCATCCGCCATACATGCATGCATACATACGTTGCTCGCATAATATTGTTTTACCTGTTATGTGTAGACATAGGTGCTTAGTAGTTTGTGGTATGCATCTCTTTTGCATCTCATGTATGTATGTATGTATGTGTGTGTGTGTGTGTCTCTCTGTCTGTCTCTCTCTCGCTCTCCCTCTCTCGCTCTTTCTCCCTCGCTCTTTCTCTCCCCCATATACACGGTAAGCCTTGCAACTTGTACTGGACAGGAGGTTTCGAAGGTCCGTGATCTTTTCATTGTGCAGTCGGGATCGGTTAGATTAGGTGTGGCGCCTCGTTTGCACGCCAGGGCAGGGAGGTGTGCTGACTGCTGGATTGCGTAACCGCATGCGGATATCAGAGGGCTTGGATTTGCGCTGTGCTTTCATTGCTCCTTTTACTTCCTTCACAAGTACGGCACCTTCTCATGCAATGTCCAAGATCTGTTCATGCTTTTGCGCATGCATGTGACTGCCACAGCAATAGAGAACTATACACTAGTCACTACCATGGTTGTCACTACCATGGTGCCAGAATTCCACCTGTGTGGAATCACACGTCATGTAGAGATGGCGCAGCTCCGGGCATTCCCTTTTTGACTGCATGCTCTAGACATTCTTAACTCTTAACATATGATATGCACTATGCAGTAGTACCTCTGCACTTGCTTCATAACGCCTACCGTACAGCTTCTCCTATACCAAACCCTACACCCACAGGTTCGTGGCACAATGTACTGTTCACTGGAAGCGTCTCTCATCAAGGGAGGCACAGCGGTTAGCAGTCGTATTTGGTCTGCATTACGGCATACAGTTTTTTGTGGGTGTGTCTTTTTGGAGGGCTCCTGATTTTGGAGTCTGCAGTCGCGCAGCACAACGGCCTCAACACTTCTAACCATGAAGCTGCAATTGGGGAATGCTTGACTCGCTGAGCTTCAGTGCTTAGCTCTGGTTGGTTTCGGAAGTTGCGGCTTATCCGGGAGCCGCCTCAGTCCTGGTCCCAGGGGGTACTCCAAGCTTTGCGCTTTAATGTACAGAGGCTAGACGCAGGATATAGTCAATCGACGAAGCAAAATCCATAGGTTCTTTGCAGACCGGCGCGCTGTTTGTGCCAGCATATAGTACAGTATTAGTAAACTCCTAGTGCCCTAGTGGGGTTGCCAAAGTTTGGCTCTCGCTAAAGTAAGCTTTTCATGCGATTCGCAAGATCCTCAGCTTTGACAGAATTCTGGCTTCTGCCATCTTATGGAGACAAAGGCCAAGCCAACCCTAAACCCCGGCAAACACTGGAGCTACAGCATGAGCGACAACATCTTTCGAGGTATGGGTGCTACTCGTCATTGCCTTTGCGCTTTGCCATGCCTTGGAAGAATGGCCTCGCGGCATCAGAAACGAATGTTTGGGGGCCTGAGCCCGTTCAAAATCAAGATTCCAGATGGAGGCCCTAAACTTTTGGTTGAATCGTATGCTGTGAAGCCCATAAATACCTTAAAAGCCAGCCACCAACACGGGAGACCCGAAGCTGGGACAGCTCTTCAAACACCTTCTACGGCAGATAAGCACCCATACTGCTCGACGGCCAAAGCTGCAGCATCCTCGATAAACGTCCCAAGGTCCCCAAGACAAAGAGGAATCCAAGAGTTTGCGCATGGAATCTGGGTGCTGGCCGGGGTGTAGGGGTCAGGGATGCGCAGGGTGCACCAAGGCGAGCTGTCATGTGTGTGTGTGTGTGTGTGTGCCAAAGTTCTATTTTCTATGGAAGGCTACCCTGTTCATAGCTCCTGGCTGGAACAGCTGGTTCGAGTTTGTTGCGAGTTCTTGAAAGTCTGGGTCTAGCTGGTGAGCCCTCCCAGTCAACACCTCGGACAACAATGGTAAGAATCGGGTTGCTAGGTTCTAACGTGTTTCATGTGCTGTAGTGTATGCGGTCATGTGGTCTAGGGAACGGGGCCTGTGGCTCATTTATCAGTTCGACAGGGTCTATGTAACTCTGCCGATATAGGATTCGGGCTCCGAAGACGCGTTCCAAAGACCCTGAGAATGCTAAGATCAGTCTTACATACCATACCATACATCACCCCAGAGCATAAGATTGCTTGAAACCTTGGACTCCGCTTGGAGATTTCGAAACCTCAGGAAAGTCCAGGCGGGTTTGACTCTCATGCCCAAGGGCACCGAGGAGAGGTATCTGTTCCGAACCTGTTGCTGCGATGGTGGAGGCGGCGATGATGATGATGATGATGGGTATGACCTTGACCTTGAGGATGATGAGGGGGTAAGCGTGATGTTGACAATCGTTGCGAGGGTGCTTTTGGTGGTGATGATGCTTATGATGATGGCAATGACAGCGTCGAAGCGTCTTCCTCGCCACCGTCCTGGGTTTGGTGCTGGTTCATTCTTCTTCTTGGTCGGCTGCCGCAACGAGTCCAAACACGAAGAGAGCCACGTTTGAGCAAAGGAGCCGGCCAACTATATAGTGAACAGAGCTATCTTATTAAAGAAAGAGACTTCCCCCAAATCGCCCCTGAGATACTGAATCTGAATGAAATGTGTCTACTTGACTCAGCCCCCGGCGCAAACCAAACTGCCACATCATGTCAAACCAGGAATAATGCAATATGCAGTCTGGATAATTTATGTGGTGCTTGGTGTCGCATATGTCAGGCAGCCAAGAGGCGCCACCGGGCAGGCCCAGGAGTGATAGCACCACCCTACGGCCCCTTGTGTGCCAGGACATCAAGATCCTTCGTCATGTGATCTCCGCCTCCTTGCCTGCACACAGACATCGAATGCCGCAGTAGGAGCTGCATCCCGAGTCACCCGCATTGCCACGCATTTCTTCGGAAGTGTTCACGAGAGGGGTGGCAGCAGTAGACGTCGATTAATTGACAGTAACAAGTATCGCAGTGTTGCTAGTCTACAGTAGCAGCAGAAGTAGCAGCAGCAGTAGCAGTAGCAGCAGCAGCAGCAGTAGCACTAGCGGTAGCGATAGCCGTAGCAGTAGCCGTAGCGGTAGTGGTAGCACTACTAGCAGTAGTAGTAGTAGTAGTAGTAGTAGCAGCAGCAGCAGCAGCAGCAGTAGTAGTAGCAGCAGCAGTAGTAGTAGTAGTGGTAATTGGTAGTAGGAGTAGGAGTAGGAGTAGGTACGAGTGGGAGTAAGAGTGGGAGTAGGCGTAAAAGAGTGGGAGTGGCAGTAGCAGCAGCAGCAGCAGCAGAAACAGCAGCAGCAGCAGAAACAGCAGCAGCAGCAGCATTAGCAGCATTAGCAGCAGCAGCAGGAGGAGGAGGACGACGAGGAGGAGTGGTAGTAGTAGTAGTAGTAGTAGTAGTAGTAGTAGTAGTAGTAGTAGTAGGAGTAGGAGTAGGAGTAGGAGTAGGAGTAGGAGTAGGAGTAGGAGTAGGAGTAGTAGTAGTAGTAGTAGTAGTAGAAGTAGAAGTAGAAGTAGAAGTAGTAGTAGTGGGAGTAGCCGTAACCGCAGCCGTAGCAGTAAGGTGAGTAGGGTGGCGGCCCGTTTAATCCAATGAGCCTAGGGCCTAATTGGTGCGTTTTTTACCTTATTGAGGCCCGCACCAAAAAACTGGCGGCCTAGTTAATGTGTTTGTTTTGGCTGGTGTGATTTTTGGGGGATGGTTGCTCGTGTGCAAACTCGAAACCCCACTTAAACCTAAATCCTAAACCCTTACCATACTGTACCATTACTGTACCACTAGCGTACTACTATGTACTACTACGGTACTGCTGTACTACTACCGTACTATTACGGTACTACTGTACTAGTACCGTACTACTACTGTACTATTAACTGCACTACATACTGTACTACTTATCAGGTATCAGGGGTCAGACTTGGTCGATTGTGGAGGGGCGTGTAGGCTGGAAGGAAAAGTCTTCAAACTGACCGGTTTTTAGTCTTGGTAGGTATCGTGGAGTGATCACCCCGACCCAGGCATCCGCGGAGAACCGCAGACCCCCCACCCAAGCCCTCCCAAACCTCCCGGACCCTCCAATTCCTTTCTAACTTCTAACGTACCACGCAGACCCTGACTTCGGTCTGCGGGGTCACGGACACTACACTATTCAAGCAAAAAGCTTTGGTCGAGGGGGGGGCCCCCTACTATTCGAAGCTGCGGTAGGAATAGCCGTAGCAGCAGCAGCAGCAGTAGTCTCACGTAGAAGTCATATAATATGCAATACACACTGTGTAGGACAAAGCTGTAAGGAAAACAGTCATGTACAACGCTTTCACACGACCCAATTCAGCCTTGTCCATGAGCTGCCGCTTGTGGAGTGGCGGGATGGTCGTGGCGGTGTTTTGCAGAGGTGATGTCGGTCTTGAGCTTCTGCATCTCCAGTGCCATGGTCGTCATCGTGGCCTACGTGCAATCACATTTGCTGTGCCCTGGCTTCACAGAGCAACCTTGCAAACCGAGCTCGCAGTTGTGCTTCTTAGAACTGCCGATGCAGGCTGCAGCTTTGAAAGCTCAAGCCTGTTTCTATAGGACAACACCTTCCGCTGAGGTTGGGCATGGATAAGTGCTTAGACTGCTGGTGCTGCATCATCCTGGAGGCAGGCGAGGCTTGGATTGATGTTGGGTGGGGGGGGTGTTCTTCGTCCTGGTCAACGGTTTGTTCCGACATGCTGGGATCCCTTTTTTTTCTCGTTGGTTTCCATTACATGATAATTAGCAAGCTGAGTTGTGTCGCAGGTTCTTTGATCCTGTTAGACCGCCAATCCTAAATGCCAGAAGCAACCGGCAAAGGGTTTACAACCTAAAACACGGCGTCTCGCTGACGCTACACATCTTCAGCATATGCTCAGCAGCATGGATGCACCCCAAATTTCCTGATCTTCATGGCCCACGTCGGAACCGACGTGTTGCCGGTAGTGTAGTCGGCAACCTGCTATTGCTTGTGGTGCTTAGGTCCGTTCGGATGGATGGATCGCGGTCGTTCGGCAATTGGCCCAACTCCCGTTTGTCTATGGTGTGTCCTTTCCAATTTTTCTTATTGTCAGACAGTCGTTCAAGTCCTTCTCAGCTAACCACCCCAACCCTCGAGCCGTAAACCACGTAAACCACTGAAACTCCCCAAGCCCTGTGGCCCTAGACCTTTGGTCCTATGAGCCCAAAAAATTGTTTAACCCCTCTGAAAAGATCTTGAATCCCAGGACTTCCAGGTCGGCGTAGAAAGCTGGAATGCCCTCCAGGCGATGTTGAAAAGTATCGGCTCCCTGGAGTCGAATTCACTTATCAAGGGGGTTTAAGGCTTCGGGCTTATTGCGATGATTGGTCAAGTATGAGGCAACAAAATGCATATAGCTCATAGTGTAGCAGGAAGCATCCTGCTACTGGTAGGGTTTTACTCGACTTCAGATGTTTTCTTATCTTGGTGAGTCCTGTTCGTCGTCGCGGCCGGAGTCTACAGTCTAGAGCTTGGAAAGTGTGGGTCTCACCGGGGCAGGGAGTCGGAACTCGACCGCCTCGAATTTTGGGGCTATGTTTGCTACAGTCAGACCGCTTCGGAGGAATCTGCCTCGCCTAGTGTGTGACAACTGAATTGTCAAACTGAACTACCCTTTCCTTTCGGACTGCTGAAGCTTCTCCGCTTCAGGAGGGCTCGGGCTTGGGCTTCCACGTGTGTGCCGCTTTTTTCAGGGTCGCATTACTCATCAGAGATCGCCCCGACGCGCAGGATGCCTTAGTCTCGATCTGTGTGTATTCCGGACAGGCCCAATAGTTTGCCTTTGCATATATGAGCCTCGAAATCCAAACCCGTAGGCTCCCACGCCTAAGCCCAGATGTCCGGCATTTGCATCACATGAGCAGCAGAATCTGCGGATGTTGCACCAGATGCGTCCCCGGTATATTTACAGTAGAAGCCAAAAAGTTGGAAGCTCCATAGCCTCAATCCTTAAGAGTAATGTAGAGGGAATCCCAGCACTATTTGGCCTTAATCCGGTTTCCAACTTTATGGGGTTTACAGCAAGTTCATCCAAAGCCGGCGCAAAACCTGACCGGCCTGACTCCAAGGGCGTGAATTGGCCAGCAGTTTCCTCGCGGCGCAACTCTTGGGCGCTGTGGGTTTTGCACCTGGGCTGAAGGGCCAAATCAATGCAGAAAGCTCGTCGGTGGTTTGGTCATTGGTTTCGGGTCTCACGATACACGGTTTAGCATGCGCGGTGCAGCGCTTTGTGAGCCCTTCATTCATGGCATTGGCATCGATGACCTAGGCAGGCCGCGGGATTGGGCCAGCACGATTTCATAATTTGTTGGCTTGTGTGTTCTTGTGGCGTTCTGGGCCGACAGTGACCGGCAGGTCTACTTCCTCACGAGCTGCGTGACCTATGCTTTCCAGAGCAGCTTCGCCCCAGATCGAGTCTTGATGGAGTCTTGGCTTCCAGTGCAGTGCTATGAGTGTTATGCCACCGAAGGGCCGTTCGGACAGAGTGGCAGCGCAGTAGTCTCACCTGCTGGAACCGGAGAAATCCTGAATCGAATTAGGTGGGTGTATGCTGGCACCACACTACAACAGGATCAACTGCAACGCCGTCATCGACATGTTCATAATACTCTTAGAGTGGCACCAGTAGCAGGGGCTGCATCGTAGTGGATGGAGTCATGAGAACAGTAGCATAAGTCGCAGTAGGAATTCGACAGTGTTGCTGTGAGCGACGCGCGTCCCTTGCTCGCATGACCGTATACATCTCAATGTGTCGTGTCAGGCGCAAGACACTTGTGGCAAAGTCGACATCTCTGTCCTGTAGACAGGTGTGAAGGTGGCGTGGTCAATTAGGGACAAATTGGATCATCACTTGAAAATAATGCAAGGGGACAGGATGGCTGCCCTCCAAAGCCAAGATCAAGCTGAATTCAATCTGACGTGTTACAAGCCATTGGCCACCGCCATAGCTCCTGGTGGCGATTCCCTGCACGTTCTGATCCGGGTTCAAAACCACTTGTTGCCGCAAGGCCGCCGGCGCATGTTTGAGAGGCTCTGTGCACATGTTGCACAGTGTTTGTTTGCAAACTCTGTTGATGTGTGCACTTTTCCTGTCCCTCTTTGACGCCCTAAATTAACAAAACAAGCTTAGTCGCGAGACCGTAGTGCTATTTAGGTGCTCATGTGGTTTTTTAGTTGCTGCTGCCGGCATTTTCCTGCAGCTCTTCCGTTGCTTTATGCACGTCCTCGGGAAGTGGCTATTACATAAGGTGTGGTGAGTAGTGAGGGTCTGCGGATGGAGTGGAACTTTTTGGAGTTGCGACCGGATACTCCACGAGAGATTATTGGAATGTAGACGAAGATCCACATCTGTAACGGCGAAGATGCCAACGGTCTGCTTCATTTTTGGCATTTCCTGAATTCTGTGTCTGTTGCGGCAGGAGTTGTTTCTGTCTGCGGGTGCTTCCTTTAGATATACTAGGGTCTCGCCAAACTCTATACTGGACACCATTCGGCTCAGCGTGGCATGAGAGCTGAACCTCCCCAATAGTTTGAAAGGCTCCCCCCAAAGGCTGAAAGCCGAAGCCTTCACGCCATCAAGCCGAGGAGGCATGCTCGGCTGTGCCGTTGCTTTGTCTTTTCGGCCTGGGCTTACGGGTCTTCTCACACGGCGCGGCACTCACCGAGAAATGCCGAGCTTCTTGGCCCGGCTACCAGTTCCTGAGTTTGATGAGTTCAGTGCTTGTTTCCCTGTCATCACTGAAACCGCCGCCCGACTCCCAAATTCCGAATTCAAAACTGAAGTAGGCTACTGGTACTTCTAGTCGAGAGACTCCGGGGTGCTGTTGTCAACAGTTCAGGTGATCCCATCCTTCGTCAACCAGATTCCTTCAGAGGAGGTCATCGACCCGGAGCGGCAATACCTCGCCGCCTGGACAAACCTGCACTTTCGCGCGCGCAGGTTTTAGGACCAGCTTAGGAAATAGGGTCTGGCAGTGCTGCTTTCAGTGCTGCTTCCGTGGGTTCAAAAAGGGTTTAGAGTTTAGACATGTTTAGAGACTATATGCAATGCCGTACCTAGACCCCGAACCTACGCAAAATACTAACGCAAGAAACCAACCAAGAATCCCTACACCCCGGACCCTGGGCAAAAAGATCTGTATCGGAAACAAGCGACAGCTATCCAAGCAGTACACTCCCGCCCCAGCAGCAGGATCCGTTGTAGGAAGACCTTGATCCAATATGCCAGTAATTAATTTCTCACCTTCTAGTGACGCAGGGAATTACAGGGCTTCTTGGATTTTCGCGCATGTCACAAGCATAGGGTCAGCTTGTTTTGTGGTGGTTGCGCAAACTCAGTGGCGCGCTTCTGAGGGTCCGTACGTAATTAAGGACTTCGCGTTTCAGGATTTCAGATCATGCAGATCCGACGTGGATGTTTAGTGTTGTGCTGAAGGTTCTCTTAGGATCTCTTGGGTGCTTCTTTGTTGGTGCAGAAGGTCTGCAGGTGGTTAAACAAGTTGGACCACGCTTGCCCCTCCTGTACACCCGGCGGCCGAGCAATTGGGCTACTGCAGGTTGATGTTGAGTTCGAGATCGGGTCCAGGCTAACCAAGGCTAAGCATGGCAGAGTTTCAAGCTTTTAGCATTGTTATCCGAGCAACGGTAAGATTCCTAGGTCCGACAAAACGCAAAATGAAAAAACAAATCCAACGCCTGCACCACATCTTTTCAGCACCACCCCCGTTTCGAACATTCGAACATGCTGAAGTCCTGGAAGCCGAATAACCCGCACGATGCCATGAGGTTTAGATTTTATGAGGTTTGAGGGGTGTGTTCATCCGATTGAAGCATGCCTGTCTTTTCAGCCGGGGATACGTGATCATAGTTCAGTCATCGGTTCATCACGGATAAGGAGAACGCAGAACTAAGTTAAACACGGCCTTTGCTTGCACCTGAGGCTGCAAATGCGAAGCTGAGCACCATTGAGCACCCAGTCCTAAAGTCAACACCCTTCCATTGTCACAACACGACAAGGTTTGTGGAAATGTTGTAAAGAAACCTTAGTTTCAGGTGGACCTCATGAAGAGTATTGACGCTGAAACCTTTTATTCATTTACAGCTGCGAGACTACGAGCACCGTCCAACACCTGATTTGGTTCACCCCCTCACCCAGCCCTCACCTGTGCCCCTGGTTGGGGCAGCAGCTGTGCCCGCGTCCTTTGTTTGGGCTCTCGGGGCCATGCTTCGCAACATTCACGCAGAATCATCGCGCAAGCAAAAACGGTCCTCTCCGCCGCGTTCCCGATCGAAGCAGGCGATCTTTTGACGGCAACTTGACCAGCCGATCCACCCGCCTCAGCGCGGACCAGCAGCCGAAAACGGCTGAGCTGTCACTTGTGCAAAGATTTGCCCGTTCGCTTGTGCAAAGACGCCGCCGTTCGCTTGTACGCGCGCACGTGCGTTTTGTGTTGGCAGGGCCAACGAATTCGGAGTTGGTCACTTGTGATTAGGCTATGTTCTCCGGCCGTCAAAGTGTACCAAACGTCGGCAGGGCCGTGGTTTCTTGCATTCGGCGTGCACGTTCCAGTTCGCGTGTTTTGGCTTTGAAGTTGCAAAAGTGCTGGCAGGGCCACATGATTCGGCTTTGCTGTGTTGGCTTTCGGCCCCTCTTACGTGTCATGTCACGGTAAGTCATCGACTGAAATCCTCGACGGGGGTGTTGGTTTTGCATCATGCCACATGCATCGGAACGAATGTTGGATCGGAGCGCATGGGTTTAAGGAACCGTGCTTGTGGAGCCCTGTCGCGCATCACGCATTATTCTGGTTTGCAGTTTGTGGTTGTTTAGTCGCTGCAATGCTTCCGAAACGTACTTTTGGAGCCTGCAAAAGTGCGTTCTGGACATCTCTTCGGAGTTTGCGCTGGCTCTCGGGCGTTGTGCACGCGCGGTCTCGGCTCCTGGCCAGGCCAAGCCAAGGTTATCTATTTGGAACCAATACGAGCGACCCAGGGGGACGAAAGCAGCAGTTACCTCGCTTGTCTTGCCTCTGCGCGGCACGGGCTCGGGACCCTCCAAAACGTGCTTTTCGGGTCTGCAAAAGCACGTTTCGGTGGTCCCTTCCGGGTTTGCGCTTTGCAGGATCCGAGCACGTTTGGATGCACAGGTTACGGCTCGGGGTTCGCGTTTTTCTGTTTTTAGGCTCTATTTCAGAGCACTTCAAGGTAAGCCAGCACCTCGATGCTTTCTCTGGTGCGGGTTTATTTTTAGGGCAGCCTTGCAAGTAAGCGAGTCGGAATCCCCGGGGGGCTGCTGTTTTGATTCGTGGCGCACGCATTCCAAACCATGTTGCATTCTCTAGACCGTGGAAATCATTACTTTTTGGAATCCTCATTTCTGCAACTGGAGTTTGGGCGCCACGGTTTCTTGCTTTCTTGCTAGACACCGGGAACGAATCCTTCGGGGCAGTCTAAGTTAAGTTTCCGAAGGTCAGGAGCCTTCTTTTTTAGTTGTCCGAAGCTTGAGCGCGTACTGTTCATGCGTCAACAAGCAGCTCTACCTCCCGCTGTCTTCTGTCGTGGAAGCTTCGCTTCTCTTCGCACGTCGGGGGCCCCAGCGGGTCGGTTGCGTCAGAAGGTTGAGCGAAGCACTTTTCTTGGGTTGCATTCAATCATCGACCGTGAGTCTGGTGGCTTTTTAGGGACAATACAGCAGCGACCTTTCTAGGCTGCCTTTGTAAGCTTGAAGGAACTGAACGTATTTATCGAGTCATACTCGGCGGCTTCGCGAGGTTGCAGCTCTCAGAAGAAAGCCGAAGAGATTACGAGGAGGGCAAGGCAGGGCTTTTGCACGTTCGGCTTGGTCCAGTGTTATCGGGTTTGTTCCAGTTGCTCGAAGCGATGTTCGCTCATCGGTTAGAGGCCTCTGCTACTGTCTGACTTTTGTCGTGACGTTCTGGCACTTGAGGCAGCAGGCATTTTAGCGGGTCAGGGTGTCGGAAGGCCGAGAGGAGTATACTTTATGGGGTTGTATCGGATCATTGGCTGCATGGCTGACGTCTTTGTTAGTCTGACACAGCAGCTGCTCTTTTGATGTCGGTCCTAACCGAAGGAAAGGAAAGCAGATCTCGAGTTCCAATTGCCGTCTCTGTGAGGTTTGCATTTTCTAGCAGAAAGCCAAGAAGACGAGAAACATCGCAAGGCCGGGCTTATGTATGTTCTATCGTCTGCCAGGGTTGACCATGTGTTTATAGCTTCTCGAAGCGACGTTCGCCCCTCGGTTCGAGGCCTCGGCTACTGGCCGGGTCAAGCCGTGACGTACTCTCATTTCAGGTAGCAGGCATTCTCGTGCTCGCAGCATTTTCATGCAACACAGATTACTGCAGTGGACCGATTTTGTCTCGTGTTGCAATGGCTCCGAACTCTTTACCGTTGACTTTGACCACCGGCCCAGCCTCCAAAGCGGAGATAAATCTCGATCCGCGTTCGGGTCGACCATGTCTTTGTGTCAGTGCGGACTTGCAGCTGAAACTTGATATATCTGACTTGATTCAGCTTCTTCTCCATTTCGCGGCCGACTCGAGAGCATCTGCACCGGATAAGTCTTCGGATCTGTGTTCCAACAAAACAGGTTCGGTTGCGGATCGCTCTGAGGAACAGTCTGCTCCTAGGCGCAAGAATTGGACCTGGGAAGAACCTATGTGTAGCCTGGAGCCATGGATCGAAAAATATTCCCAGAGGTCTGATGTCCGCTGGCGCAAGGAAGAATCGGTTTCTGCGGGCGAACCTTTCTGCGTGGTCGACAACGAGGAGTATAGGCAAGCTTTCAGGGAGATGACATTCGAGCCGTTGCCGGTTCCTGAGAGATCTCCTATGACGCATGCCAACTTCAAGGAAGCGGAAGTCATTCGGTTCAAAGAAGCGCAATCCGTTCGGCGGTCGCCAGGACGTATCCCCGTTGTTTCGTCTGCGAGCACATCGCCTTCGGAGGAGTCCAATCTCTCGTTTCTGTCTGCCGGGATGCATGCCAAGGCGAAAGCTCCAGCTGGAAGGCTGCGGCACCAGGCTCATCGAAGCGTACCTTTGTCCGATGAGGATCCCGGCAGGATGTATCCGAACCAGGATTGCAAGTCGCAATGAGTAGGAGTATGTCCGGTTGGCAGGAATCACAGTGTTTGAAGTAACGAGCGTAGGAAACAGGGGGGGGATTCCGTTCCATCCTTGTCTGCAGAGGTGCGTTTGGTTTTTTACTATCATGTCCTCTGCATCTTCCTTATCGGTTCGAGGCTTCGGCCACTGGCCAAGCCAAGCACATGATTTCAGTAAGTTCGCAAAGGCTCAAGCTTGTTGTCGGAGGATGTGCGGTGCGTTCGATAGTGTCATGTGCGGAAAGCATAGAAGTTCCGGTTGTGAGCGCCAGAAATTCTGTTGCCATTGCGATGAATGTAGTTCTGCCGCGCGTGACCGAGATGCGCAAGCACGTGGGCGAGCTTCTTTTGCAAAGGGGCGTTCTCGGGGCAGTCGGCGAGGAGAAGGTGGGGCAGGTAGTCTATCTGCAGGTCTTTTGGGAGTCAGTGGCAAGCTCAGATTTAGTTGCTTTTGAGTCATGCACTTGAGGCACGGTTGCTGCTCGACATTGCCCAATACAGCGCTGCAGTGATGCAGGTCAGTGTGTTCGCTCAGGCTCGCCGGCATGGGGCAAGTGTGGGTGCGCTAGCTTCACTCTTGTAGATGTTCTTCGATTAGAAAAGCTGTCTTGACCGCGTCTTCGACGCCGGCTCGAGGCCTCGGCGTCTCGCCGGGCCAAGCTGTGTTTTGCCTAGAGACATTTTGTAGAGCTTTGCAGTCAGGCTCACGCGACTTACCTTTCTTCAAGTTTCCCGAGCATAAAAACAAAAGGCAGGTTACCGGGTATCTGGCATGGCGTCACACGCTCGTTCCCGGCGGCGGCCTGCGAGGCAACAGCTTC